AGAGTGTCTTCGGCATCATTCTCTGTCGGAGCCTTACAACCCGAAAATTTACAATTTTCAGGTCCTTTTCGCCTTAATTAAGACAATATATTGTATTACACTTAAATAAACTCCTCATACTCGTTTAGTCTTCACCATGTATATATGACTCATACATATTGATATTTGATTATCCTTTGCACTTAATCGAGACTTTCATAATATCACTCCAATCTATGACTGCACAAACACTTATTGTAACGTCATACCTTACTGCAATAACAAGTTATTTTCTTATTTGTTACTCATTTGATGATACACACATAGCCGTTTATCCTTTTTCTGTGTTCACAAAGACGCTTATTAAACTACTTACGTATTTCGCGTCTCATTTATCTCTATTCCCTCATTTTCTTCTTTCCCTTCTTTAAAGTCAGCTCAGGATGCTTCTCAATTCTACAGAACCTGACTTATTATTATTACTCTATTACCATTACCTTTTTTCTCTTTTTCAAATATAGCAAATATAATGCTAACATTATTGGAACTTGTGCCTTATTGAATTTCTAAGGAAACCCGAAATAGTTTCTTCACAACACCTATTGATATGAGGGGAAGAAGGGTCAAAATTCGATTGATTTACTCATTGAGTTTTGTTCAAAATTACTTCCGTTTTGGTTCAATGTAATGATTACACAAAGTAGTATTTGCTTTATTGCCTCATATGATATTTTATTCTGCATAATTGTTATGACTTTAAGTTGCGGTCGATTATTGCCCTGTGCTAATTGTTGTGCCTTGACTGGAAAAATTAGAGAGCAGCGTATTTATCGATCGATTCAATGACACGTAAGCACGTACGGACGGCCTAGAGTCTCGATTGGTCTCGCTTCCCTGTCTAGCCCAGTCAGTTGAGTCCAGAACACAAGTCACAATCTTTGAGTTATGAATCATTATATTTCAAACATACTTTGTTTATATACCAATCAAGCATACCACATCGTACCATAAAATAGAAAACAACATTTTGTACAATATTCAACAGGTGAACAGATATCGACCAATAGGAAATGTCCATTTAAAGTCCAAGGACACCACTGGACTTAACATGATAATTATTGGTCTATTCCTCCGCATCCACAACAATAATAAACGATATTCTTGTATTTAATTGACATGTACCATGCTCTATATATGACTTCATCCTAATTATTAATCAAATTGTGTGTACAATCAACATAAAAACGAGTGAATTTCTGACTATCGTCGTTGTTTTTCGGGGTTAATAAATTTTCACTTATACTAGTCTTTGTGTTCTTACTTTCGCATTGTGGGAATTGCGGAGGTCCCTAGTCTCGAGTATAAGTGATAGGCGTTTCTGATATAACAATCAGCGACGACCAGATATAACAAGTAGCATTCAAGTGGCAAGACATATCACTTATGTACCGATAAGATTTTTGTGAATAATAATTACTGCTTGAGTTCCTGAAAATTGCTGATAGCAAAAATACGTACAGTTGGAATATGATTATTGATCACATGTGTACACCAACTTTGATAGCTTGTTAGCGAACATATTTTCCACTGTTTCTCATCAAACACATAAGTTTAAGAACATTGCGGAATATTTATGTCCAGTAAACATTGAATGGAATCGAATTTCGTACCACAGCAATATAATAGGTTTCAAACAATAGATTATAACACTGATAAATGTAATAATATACTTGACACAATCAACTTCAACTCGATCACAAGGGATTCCAGCCTCAAACTTATTATGGGAGATCATAGGTTCGCAATGAATTAATTTCATTTTTCAATCACTATACTATCAGATCCTAAAGCTGTGACAGTGCTAGACTGGGGAGTTTAACCAAGAGATAGGAAAGCGCACTGAAACACATATTCGTTGCCTACTATAAGAGTCGTACTTCAATAAATATAGCATAAGTATTGGGCCTTTTGATCTATATCACAACTTGAAGTTCTCCATTGACTGTAGTGCTCCAGACGTCAAATATGTCATTTGAAACACTAATAAGAACCAGAGTGCTAGTTAGACTTTCAAAGGAAAGTTGAAAAATCCGAAGCACCCATAGAACAAGCAATATGATTTGTGCGTACGTCACGTCATGAATAACTTAATTAGCAGAAATGATTCCTCTCGATGAAAATATCTTTGGACTATGGAGAATAAAGCTCTAGATAGCAAAATACCAGACCTACCAATAAGTTGGCAATTCAAATACTGCTTGAGACTTTAAACTCTTAATGTGATCACATTCTTAACAATTAAGGACAAGATTGTAGACAACCCTGATACTATTTGTGAACAGTTCGACTACGATGCTACATTACAGGAACCGAAGCATCTGCTAATGCATTCGCAACGCTGACATTTAAACATCTATTCACAATTAATTTCATATCCAATAACATCAAGTAGGCTATTAATGCCCTGGAAGTCGAATGAAGACGAACCTAACGGTACTACCCCATCATCCGTGATATGGGGGTAGATAATTCCTTAGGTTTAACTTATACATGTACTTTCCATCTGTATGGAGAGCATTGTTTATTTCCCTTGAATTCAGAACGGGATTATGCAATGGTAAACATAAAGCAGACACATCGAAGTAACACACAGAAGATACGCTAACCAGTGATGATTCTATATTTCGATTTAAGTCAGGCCATCGACAGTGCCTTGCACAAAATTTTGCTAAAACCTTTCCCGATTGGCATACGTGATCTTTTATCGTACTAAATTAAATCTTTTTTTAACAGAAAGTACCCCAATCGTTTGCTCTCGCTACTCTAAGCTTATGCATATCGTATGGTAAACTTTTCCCTTTCGCTGTTCGGGAGATACTACATAACGCGTGTGCGCAATTATAAAAACAAACGATGGGATTAAATAAGTACTCTATAATCATTAAATAGAACGTTGTAAGCAATGCACATGTATGTACAACCCGACAAAAAAAGAAAACAGTGAGAAACATACAAAAATAAGTGCTTTAAAATAAAGATTAACATATAAATTAGATGATCAACTTCCATTTTTAAACTATATCTATATAAGACACAATGGTAGAAAAGAAGGATTCCTAGTGAGAGAATAGAAGAAAAACTAAGTAAGCAGAGATGACAGTGCTTCAAATAGTTTTAGCATATCTTCTCTATGAAGTTCAATACCTAAAAAGAATTTATAACACAAAATCTGATTGCATAAACTTACAATTTGTACTGAAATATTTGAACTCAGCACGTGCTTTAGTGCGATTTATAGCAGCTTCAAAAGCTTGACCAAATAAACTGACAAACGCCAGTAAAGAATAAGACGACTTACTTCCGGTCATCGTCTCCATGAATTGGTGGAATTCCCAAGAGTGAAATATAATTATCATCTGATTTGCTATCTACACACACGATTAAAGGCATTTGAACTACTCTTCTACCATGACCCTTCATAAAAAAAACATTCAGAATATTTCTAGATTAACAGACTTACCAATTTAGCCCTCATTGATGACTTTGCCATAAGAATGTATTTTGATAAAATCGCTAAAGACTGACTATTCCTCAGTGCATGTGTTACCAAAGAACTCTAAAAAAGTTATATATAAATATAATATATAGTTTGATGGGAAATACGTAGACATTGCTCAAACTAGGTTAAAGAGATGCCGAGTAAACTTTGGACGCAAAAAGAATTTGTGTACTTCATAAACTTGAGGATTTTGTTGAGTCAAAGACACAAGATGAAACTTGTCTATAACGCTTCCTAATTGATATACCAAAATGAAAACCAGTTACGATTGAGTATATGTTTACGCTTACTGCAGATTACATCAAACAAATTTTCCTGCTGTTAAGTTTTTTTAATCGAAACCACTTTAAACTAATTTGTTTTGTCAGTTGACTTTTTCCTCTGGTATTTATGAAGCGTGAAAACTTTTAATGATTTTTTACTGTATGAAGTTATACACCGCTTTATTCGGGAGACTTCAAAGGATTAAAAGGATAGAATGTTGGGTTTGAAAATGTGTTCAGTTGTGACTAAATCTTACAAACAGCCTTTAAAAATGTATGTACTAGTTTGTGAATCCTACACGTTTTATGAAGTGGTGGTCAAGTATTTAGTCAGTTCGTCTTCTAATCACTAAATCAATGGTTTGAGTTACTCCTCATTTGTTTTGGTATGGAAGCGCTCACACATAGTGCAACTCTAATTTGAGCACATAAATCTTTAATTGGTAAACGAATTACGTTGTGCAAAATATAGACCTGTAACCTATTGAATAAGGTATTGTTCGAACAACTGAACGATACAACACAAGAAACCAAACTAACGGGAGTTTAACGTTGTATGAAAATCAGTGAACAGCCAGTTAAATTTTCCCCACTATGAATAAGTAATGAATTTAAAGTTAAAAAGTGAATAAATCAAAATATTTTTTAACCTCACTTTTCTAATATATACATACAAAAATGGACCAAACGCGACCACATCATCTGTATCTAAAAGATTACGAACTTGGTTAGCTAAACTCTGAAGATGGATTTCTGTTTGTTTTATCTCTTGATCTAATGAAGGTGAATTCCAACTGAAATGTGGAAAAAAAACTATGTATATATATGACATCCTGCATTTAGCACAACTTTTACTTGTGGGCATTACAGATGAAGAGATCAGAATAGTCCCCTAGCAAATAGATGAGTTTCAATCAGACGATTAAAGTACGAATATAGGGGTTGTGAAGATTATTAAGTTTTTGATTGAGATCATGAACCGATTGATGTTAGACCACCGTTGGAGACCTGGAAGCACTGGACGACCGTTTCGTCCTATTGTTGGACTCCTCAACAGTGCGCGTCCACGATCCCGCTCGCGTGATTCGAACCCACGGCCTTCAGTCTCGCGCGCGAACGCTCAACCTACTGGACCACTGAGCCAGAATCCAATGGTGCCGTCCAGTGCTTCCAGGTTTTCGACGGTGGTCTAACATCAATCGGTTCATGATCTTAATCAAGAGATTAAAGTATACATCGGTAGTGAAGATATATACTGTTATTGTATATATTTTATTAGCATCATAGTAACGCTGTAGAATCGAATTTATTCAGATGTTTGCGAAAAAACTTTGCGTATAATAGTGTTTTATTTCAATAGTTGACATGTCAGTTAGATTAGATGTGGTTGAAACATTGAGATAGATGTGACTTCTATAGTATGGTTCACCATTCAATAAAAGATTGTTGAAATCTTTTTGCTTTCGTCTTAATTACTGAATACTGAGGTTGTCGAATTATAAATTTGATTTGATTTAAGATGAATGAACATTCGCCAAAACTTATACACCGAGTATACACTAGAGATCAGAAGTAGAAACTTTTTGAAAAACGTATCTGCAATTGAAGTTTAAATGATACCAACATTCCACTCAGCGATCCGATCCAAGCTTATCCATGGAAATAATCAAAATCTCTGAAAAAGCTCAAACAGGTAGTTAACGGTTAGAAACATTGAAGTTATGTAAATTTCAACCACTGGAATTATTTCAAACAAGCTTGAGTATCCAAATTACTGTGATTTTTAAAACATGTACAAAATAATAGGACTGACAAATGTTAAAAGAGCATACCAAGAATTCCCTATTCAAAATATCTGTTTAAGTAATTGAGGCACTACATTTTACAGCCATCATACTTATTCCAGTAAGAACAGATTGTTATTAACAATTTAACTTTAAATAGTCACAATTTTAAGCATAATTGGATTAATTTATCTTGTATAGGTTGTTTGAATCTTCCCTCTAACGTTTGTACTTGCAATCGACCAGTTTCTTACTAACATATATCTATCCTGTGCGAATTGCCCCAATATTAACTGAAGTCACAAGCATTATGACCAGAGATAGGTGATGGAATCCAGGCCGCGCGTCTCGTTCTGTTTAAGATTGTGCCTGAATCTCAGAGTTGATGTTCACTCCGGGACTCCAACCAAGTGCCGTACGCTTCAAGCACCATCGCACTACCCACTTAGCTATTGAGTCTAGATAACTACTAGCTCGTGCAATGGGAAGAAACTTAGTTCATCTTGTATTAGTTGTTCGAATCTTCCAACTGATGTCTCGAAGATGGCGAAACGCGCGTCCCGAATACTAGTGCTACCGACCACCCATCTTTGCTCATAATTGAATTTAATACGTAGAGTTAACAATACACAGTTTAAATGAAACTGATCAAAATTAACTAATAAGATGCAATAATGATTAGTCCATTCACTGCACATTTTCGCTTGACAAAAGTACATTCGACGCTTTTATCCATCGAAAGCATTGAGTTAGGGAGTACCGTTTTTCAATAAAATAAAAAGTTAGAAAATAAGAACAGGTACATGTGATTGTTATGGAGGGAGATTCCGTGATTTGACGAAACGATTATTCGATTGTAAGAAATGATAGACAAGAATGTTGATCGACACACGATAAGCAGTGATATGATGTGACTGAATGATGATCGTTCACAAAACCGATTTATCGACGTAGACTTCAGAATAATTTAATATTGAAAATAAGACTATTGGCTTATATGCAAAATACCAACACAAAATAAACACGACTAACTATCGAAGGCGACTGGAAGAAATCAGTTTCCAGATCAATTACTTTCTAACAAATTAAGACATTATTATTGGACACCGTATCAGTAAGCGATGAATTTAAAGTAAGAAACCTTTTAAGAAGAATTGTAAGAAACGTGGTTGAGTAGCTCTAAATCTTTATTTGTTTTACAAATTAAGATCAAACTAATATAATTTATTAACTATAAACATATAACTAGTAGCAAGTGTCAAAATTATAGAGTATATGATAGTGAGAAAGACATTGGAGCATACTATTCGAGCAATAAAAGTATGAAATAATATTAAAGTGTATAACTTAAAAGGATGTCAAGAGTGAATACATCTGAGCTACTGTGACCTAGACAGGCAATAAGAAGATAACAACCACCAAGTATAAAGCTTTTAATACTTTCAGCTTCCATACAAGACTATGGACTAGTATCCAGACTTATATTCACGATGGCCATTTTAAACGAGAGATGATTCATCTTAGTTACTTGTAATAAATAAATAAATCAAACCAAAGATAGTTAATGCAATTAGCTGATTTTGAAATAAACTTTTAACTAGTGAAAATTTGCGTAAGATAATGGCACCATAGGAAAGTATGAATTTTGAAGCAAAACTTACCAAGCTACTGTGTCCAATGCCGTTTGAAAGTTTTCCACCGGATTACCGCTATTCTGAAGGAGTAAAAGTATAAAAATTATAAGTACGAAGTTAATGAATCGATAATTAGCACATAAAATCGACTGGAGTATCAAACTCTTTAAATCAGTTAAACAATCCATCGAATGGAACAAAAGGTTAATTAGTACTTACCGGTCAGTAAGAGATTAAACCAGTTATGGTATATTAGTATAAAAACTTAATGGCACCTTAACGATAATCAGATGGCCTAAGCAAAGTTAAAAATCTCAATAATTGATTTAACGATCTTAAATTAATTCGAAGTGTACAACTGACTAGCCGCTTATTCCCTTAGTCCTTCGATTCTCAAAGAAAAATATAACACTACTGAACCCAGTTCCAACAAGTTCTACCATTAACATTTGTTCGATAGATAATTTACAGGAGAACATATGTAAATGCATGAAGTTACTGATTAATATTGTCATGATGACAATATACATATGGTACATATATATTTAACATACATTCATATTAAATTTGTTTAGGAATATCTTTTTTTTAAAACCATACAGTTTTATTGCAAGAGAAAATGTACAGTTTAACCAAGCTTTCCATGATAACAATAATACTCGGAATAGTTTTCCTGCCAACAATAAATCTGAGGATAAAAATATTATAAATCTCTTCATTAGTATTTTATTATAGAACTTACATAGCACTCTAAAGCGGATATAGTTAGGAAAACAGCATCGACTGCCGACATAGGTGTTCGATATCCCAAATGAACAATGAAAGATGGTAAAAACAGATCAGTTCGTGAAAGACTACGGAAAAAATATAATAACATGTATGTAAAAATAATTAGGCAGATAGGTAATGTTATTAAAATTTCATTAAACTATAAAAAGGGAACTTGTGGTTACAATTCAATCAGCTGGAAATTTAAGTTGTGCAATAATCCTTTTTCATCAGTTTGCACAAGTGATGAATAGATGATTAATTAAGTGTAGAATATCAACAAGTAAATTATCTTGTGAATGTGCGCTTATAGACAAGGACCGCAATATTCATACAAGCCGAATATGCAAGCTAGTTCCTAGAAGTGAAACATACGGAATAAGTTTTCCAACTTAAACTAACAGCCCAGTCTTCGTACAAAATTAAATCGAAGATGAATCCAAATACGACAAGACTTAGTAAATATCAGATTAAATAATAATGGAAAGATGAAACAACGGAAAACTAGAAAAACCCCAATTTAAATAACGATGTTCATGTTCGTTGGGTAAATCTAAAATCATATACCATGGTAACTAGTTAATGACCATGCATAATAAATTTAAAGTTTCAGCTTGATAAGTTGAGCAAAAACAGCTTTGGATACATTTTTGTCATCTTGATAGGATGATGAAAATAGACCTTATATAACTTTAAGTAACTGATGATAATGACACGAAAATTAGTAAACATATACAAAATTATCTATTAAATACCAGTCAGTCAGTGAACATCGATGTAAAGGGTAGCACAAATGTGTGTCATCCCAAGTCGTCATGTCGCATTAGCATAGTGGGATGAAAGTAACGGGATGACTAGCAATGAAGTACAGATAATAGTAGAACCGATAGTAGTGAGAAAAAAATGAACATTAGAGAACTCAGTTTAAAATGGAAGGAATGAAAGTAAGGCATGAACAAGTACCTTGGAACCCAAGATCTTATATATATATATCCTAACTCCGCCTGGAGTCCCTCCGGGGGCTACTGCCGGTCACAAGCCCGGATAAAGGAGGAGGGGTAAGGATGGAGTTAGCGACCTCATCCCGTAGAAAACTAACTCGCTAAAAAAAAGCTAACCAGAAAAAATTATTCAAACTTTTTAAACTCTGCCTGGGAGTCAGAAGGTCTTCATTTAGAAGAATTATGACGCCTCATGATGAAAGCCGAATTCCTTCGGAAGTTACGAGGCCGATGCCCCTTCTGACAACCAGAGCAACCATTTATTTAGGTACATGGAATGTTCGTACAATGTGGGACACCGGGAGAGCCTTCCAAATTGCTGCAGAAATGAGAAGATACAACCTAGAGGTACTTGGGATCAGTGAAACACATTGGACACGAGTTGGACAACAACGACTAACTACAGGAGAGCTCCTGTTATACTCCGGCCATGAAGAAGAAAATGCACCACATACACAAGGAGTTGCATTGATGCTGTCCAAACAAGCACAAAATGCACTTATAGGATGGGAATCTCATGGACCAAGGATCATCAAAGCCTCGTTTAAAACAAAGAAAGAGGGCATTTCAATGAACATCATCCAATGCTATGCGCCTACCAACGACTACAATGAAGACGCTAAAGATCAATTCTACAATAGGCTGCAGTCAATAGTCGAGAAGTGCCCAACAAAGGACCTGACCATTCTGATGGGAGATTTCAACGCCAAGGTTGGGACGGACAACACTGGATATGAAGACATCATGGGACGACACGGACTGGGAGAAAGAAACGAAAATGGTGAGAGATTTGCAAATCTATGTGCCTTCAATAAGCTGGTCATAGGCGGCACCATATTCCCACATAAACGCATACACAAAATTACATGGACTTCACCGGATCACTCTACACAAAACCAAATCGACCATATTTGCATCAACAAAACGTTCAGGAGGACTATAGAGGACGTGAGAACCAAGAGAGGAGCTGATATAGCATCAGATCATCACTTGCTGGTCGCCAAGATGAAATTGAAACTCAAGGAGCACTGGACAACGGGGCGGACGATATCACAAAAGTTCAATACGGCCTTTCTTCAGGATACTAACAAACTCAACAAATTCAAGATAGTCCTCAGCAAAAAGTTCCAGGCCTTTCATGATCTGCTCAGTGGAGAAGGAACTACTGTGGAGAGCAACTGGAAGGGGATCAAAGAGGCAATCACTTCAACATGTCATGAGGTCCTGGGCCATAAGAAGCACCATCACAAGGAATGGATCACTGTTGATACACTGGATAAGATACTAGAAAGGAGGAACAAGAAGGCAGCGATCAATACCAGCCGAACAAGAGCAGAAAAAGCCAAGGCACAAGCTGAATACACGGAAATAAACAAACAAGTGAAGAGGAGCATCAGAACCGACAAACGTAAATATGTAGAAGATTTAGCAACGACGGCGGAAAAGGCTGCACGAGAAGGAAACATGAGACAATTGTATGGCACGACAAAGAAACTCTCTAGAAATCGCCGCAAACCAGAACGACCAGTGGAAAGCGAGGAAGGCAAGGTAATCACCAACATTGAAGAGCAACAAAACAGGTGGGTAGAACACTTCAAAGAACTCTTGAATCGACCGGCTCCACTGAACCCACCCAACATCGAAGCAGCACCCACGGACCTCCCAATCAATGTTGGCCCACCAACAATTGAAGAAATCAGAATGGCCATCAGACAAATCAAGAGTGGCAAAGCAGCAGGACCGGACAACATCCCAGCAGAGGCACTAAAGGCAGACGTAGCGGCAACTGCAAGGATACTCCACATTCTCTTCAATAAGATTTGGGATGAGGAACAAGTACCAAAAGACTGGAAAGAAGGACTTCTGATCAAAATACCGAAGAAAGGAGATCTCAGCAAGTGTAATAACTACAGGGGCATTACTCTTCTCTCTTCAACAGGGTATTGTTAAACAGGATGAAGGACTGTGTAGACGCCCAACTTCGTGACCAACAGGCAGGATTCCGTTAGGATAGATCGTGTACAGACCAAATCGCAACTCTACGGATCATTGTGGAACAATCAATTGAATGGAATTCATCACTCTACATCAACTTCATTGACTACGAAAAGGCATTTGATAGCGTGGACAGAACAACACTATGGAAACTTCTTCGACACTACGGCGTGCCTCAGAAGATAGTCAATATCATACAGAACTCATATGATGGATTACACTGCAAAACTGTGCATGGAGGACAGTTGACAAAGTCGTTCGAAGTGAAGATCGGTGTTAGGCAAGGTTGCTTACTCTCACCCTTTCTCTTTCTCCTGGTGATCGACTGGATCATGAAGACGTCAACGTCTGAAGGGAAGCGCGGGATACAATGGACATCTAAGATGCAGTTGGATGATCTAGACTTCGCAGACGATCTGGTCCTTCTATCCCAAACGCAACAACAGATGCAGGAGAAGACGAATAGTGTGGCAGCAGCCTCAGCAGCAATAGGTCTCAATATGCACAAAGGGAAAAGCAGGATTCTCCAATACAACACAGAATGCACCAATCCAATCACAATTGACGGAGAAGATTTGGAAGATGTAAAAACCTCTACTTATTTGGGCAGCATCATTGATGAACAGGGTGGATCTGATGCAGATGTGAAGGCGCGGATCGGCAAAGCAAGAGCAGCATATTTACAACTGAAGAACATCTGGAACTCAAAGCAACTGTCAACCAACACCAAGGTCAGAATTTTCAATACAAATGTCAAGACAGTTCTACTGTATGGGGCAGAAACCTGGAGAACTACGAAAGCCATCATCCAGAAAATACAGGTGTTTATTAACAATTGTCTACGCAAAATACTTCAGATCCATTGGCCGGACACTATTAGCAACAACGTACTGGGAGAGAATAAACCAGATCCCAGCGGAGGAAGAAATCAGGAAGAAGCACTGGAAGTGGATAGGACACACATTGAGGAAAGCACCGAACTGCGTCACAAGACAAGCCCTCACATGGAATCCTGAAGGTCAAAGGAAAAGAGGAAGACCAAAGAACACATTACGCCGAGAAATGGAGATAGACATGAGAAAAATGAACAAGAATTGGATGGAACCAGAAAAGAAGGCCCAGGGCAGAGTGGGTTGGAGAATGCTGGTTAGCGACCTATGCTCCATTGGGAGTAACAGGCGTAAGTAAGTAATATATATATATATATCCTGTAAACAGGAAATACACCTCTGAGTCCAGTTAAATATTATGAACAGGTTATCCTACAAAACACTGAATTCTAGAGCATTATTGTTAATCTCACTTAATCAGTGGTATTTAAACATGAAAGCCAAAGAAAAGTTATTTATATTTTCGATAAACAAGTATAGACTCGTCAAAAAATGAAATAACAATATACATACTCTTACCGTTTGTAAGTTACTTGAGCAACAAATAAAACATAGCTATATGTAGTTGAATAAATTACCGAACACATTTCAAATACCCAAAACAGTCTCGTATTGATACCTAATAAAGCTAAAGAACAACATCTACTTCTTGAAACAACTAAGACACTAAAGGAAATGGAAAGAAATAGAATATAACAAAAGATAGCTCACCCATATTTTTCACCATATTGTAAAAATTGTGCATTTAAACTGTCACGCAAACTACTATTCATAGAAGAATATAACTGTGCACATTCACGTCGCGGCAATCTAAAAAGAAGTTATTAAGAGTTAGCTCAATCATCCCAGTTAAAATGAGCGTCAAGTTTCTACGGAAATTCCTTAACTAAACTCGACCCTAGATAACAATTATTAAAAAAATAAGTTGGAAATTAGCACTAACATTCATAAGCTAATACTAAAAATTATGAAACATGTGCCTTTCAACGAATGGAATGATGGGGGAAAAGTATCAAGTAGTCCCTCCCAACTACATGTACATATAATAACTGACTAATTGCATTATCAACCACAACTGAGACTAATGGAATTTCGTAAAAAATCGAAGGTCAAAACCATGTTTCTATATATTAATCTCCGCTAAGCCTATTGAATACAAATGGAAGAAGTTTAGTCAAAACCCGTTACGCAAACAGTAAATGTCAGTGAAACTCTAACCAAAAAATAACCTCTGAAGAGTTCTGATCACTCCACAACGAAAAGGAAAATCATCTGCAGTTAATGATAAACTGACAATAGACTGATTAGTGGCAAACACAGAATACGACTAATATGCTATCTTATTAGTAAGAAAAATCACAGACTTCACCAGCTATGTTCACACTAGAATATTTGTTTCAGCAACCTGTAGGGTTTGCAGAAAAATTATACTTTAATAGGCTGAAGTATCTAAGTGGAAAACAAAACTAACATAGACAGCTCCCGATATAAACGATTCGATGTCAAATCAATATTCAGAACAGGTTAATAAAAGGTTAAGATTTTTGAGGCATGAGCAACTCAAACATGTGACTCACAAAGGAGACTATTTTAGAGCCGTTCATTTATGATGTGTAACTCATTTACCAAGTACAAGTTCGGTTTTGAACTACATCGAGTGGATTTACAAGTTTTGTTTCAGTATTAAGAAATTGAAACTCTAAGCTATTCGACATTCATTGGTACTGAGAAGTTGTAAGTAAACACTGTGAATAAGTAGCGATTACAACTCGGTGACTGAATATAGGTCCTTATACCAAACTTTAAGCCACACTTCATAAATGCTATAAGGTACGCATACCCAACAACCAAAGTAATTATCATTATAACATAGGTTTGTTCATTCTTTTGACAGAGAATGTGATTAGGGGATATGTCGTCGACTACATAAAACAATTTGGTACCATATAATCTTGAATTCTTATCATATAGAACCAGTGACCACAAAAATAATAACACTCAAGAAGTCACCGTGAGTATGCTGTAAACAATAAATCTGTTAAGATGTAACTTACAAACATTCTTTGAAAACTCAACACCTACCATGAATATTTGCCTAAGTAATCTTTAAATAGTTGTGATTTTTTGATAACCGAGTCTACTTACCCCAACTGTACAAGAAATTCATACATACGTCGCTGTCCTCCTTCAGTAAACAGTTTGAATTTGGATGCTGTTACCATACTGGTCTCTATTGCTTCTTTTAAACTCCAATGTCTATAAAGCCATAGAGCTAATTCATCTTCAAATAAAATTTCGATTCTAGCTTTATTTTCATCACTTGTACTTGTTCCAGAATGAATTTGACCAATATGACTTAGACGACTCATATGGCTTTGAAGATAGTCTAGTTGGTCAATATAATGTTCTCGATTTATTGCATGAGTGATTAGTTGAGAGGTTTGACCTACTATCGCATACCTTAAAAAATATGTAAGAAAAATTCGTGACAAGTAAATATTATTTTTTATAAACTATACCATAAAGCTGAAAGCAAAGGCATAAACATTAAACTTAAATTCATTCACTGATCTACATTTTTATCTTTTAACCATTGGTAATCAATTGTCATCATTTTCATAAATACTTTTAAATTAAATATATGATTATCTAGAACAGCAACATTAGGTTAACATCGATCTTATTATAAGATATACGTTAGCCTAGACCCATGATGAAAAGCGGGTTGAGGAAATAATTCGTTACTTTATTTGTCTTTCCATGGTAGCCGGTGACAAACGATTGGGTCATACGCCATTTGTTCCTTCAGGGTACTGGAGCCCATGTGCACCATTGGTTTGGAATCAGGGTTTTTCAACCTTACTAGGTCGACTCTCCATGACCACCAACCCGGCTAAGGCGCCGGACATCCGCTTTTCGTCCTCTCAATTTCGTAAACAACACCCCCGCCACGAGAAGGCAGTGGATATATACGCGTGACCATGTGAGAGCATTTCGAGAGGTAGAGCGGACTCTCCTCACTCTCGGCCGTACCACGGCATTTGGGGACATTCGTCTTTTGAAGTAGATCTTATTAATAATTACCGCTAGAACACGATCACCTAAATGTATAGTTCGATAGTTAATATATCTATGAGATTAGAAATCCATTAGCATCAGATAAATACTCGCATGGCACAGAACTACTGGGGAATACCATGGTTTGAAATGAACTGTCACGCAGGCTACTAAAAAATAGATGACATTTAGATGGCTAAATAAACGTTTTGCTTAAATTACCAAGTCACATCTATTTTACTAAACTTGTTAGGAACGTCTTTGCTGTCCTCAGGAAAGATTGACTGAAATCCAGTTATTATTTATTGTGTGAAACTGAAAAGCCTAGAATTGTGAAAATTCACAAAATCTTACTATAGGCGACCTGAGGAGTTATAATAACACGTAGGGTTGATGGTACTGGTGCAATTATTTTCGAACTTTACTTATGTGGTTTGTTCTACTGAAAACAGGGATTCTTGGTCCGTTGTAAACAGCAATTCCGGATGAGCCATTTAGAACTGTAACAATTACTTAGTAAGCAATGTTGGACGAATCAAAAAACTTTTTATAAGGCATGAACAGCCATAATGAGACAAGTGTATGTTTAGGTCCTTCAATGATGATTATGTAAAGTATTTCGAACTTCCAACTTGAAAGTTGAGACTTAATCCATTGATCAAGATGACTTTATTGTAAGCATTGTTTGGGCTAGGAACTATGTACATGTTTGTAGACTAAGCTGCTAGTGCTATTCGTCGCAATACTTGATGACGCTAAAATCAAAGTAACTGATTTGATGTTTAAATTCCCGATCGAGAAGATGAGGTTTAAGCCCATCATCGACTGAATTGTGGTATTTTGCGCACACCGAAGTATTTCTAGGTTATAACTAACTCACTAGTCAGGGAGGAAGAGATGAAATACACTTATATTTACAATAGCCTTGGAACTAAGTATTTAGTTGGTCCCACATACTGATAACAATAAACGAGTAGTCAAACCACTGAATCACAATTCATGTTAAAAGTACCCCAGCGTTTCAAGTACACGGCGGTATACATCCGTTACAATAAAACAGTTCTGAGGTCCAGACGTCGTGACTGAACACGTGTTTAGTAGTGGTCTGTAGCAAGTACATATAGTAACTGCGTCAATAAACGGAAAGATTTCTCCCGAAAAACTTTTTCCTGTCATCTTAACCACAGAACTTCATATGTAATGTGGTTGACTCCAACATACAGAAAGGTTAAGGAGGACATGAACTAAACATCATCCATATCTAGCATTAGGTGTTTGTGTTCAGCTCCATGGAAATCATAAAGCTTAACTGTATTTACAAAGAGTGCTTTATCAGTATTCTGGTGACTCACCATAATAAGCAGTTGTTTTCCTGGGAGAGCTTCCAGGCTAAGTCAAACATGACTACAGATGAAGCAACACTATGGTAGGAAAAGCTCTCATAATCCATTAAAAGTTCTTGTCTTTTTCTATTCCATTTCCTTTTTTCTATTCTTTTTTCGATATCATCTGGTTGCAATCTTCTGTTCTGTTGCTCCTCAGAATCCTCATCTGACTCATCACTCTACAAAATGTAGCCTGTCGAAAAAAGTTACCGAGAACTCTCGAAACACGTCCTCGAATTTCGGCACTAGCGTGGTGTCTTCATTAAGACATAAGAGTTTAATCTGACGTTGGTTGTAGAAGTTATTAATATGAATCGGACGGCGGCTAGGTGGTGTGAAAATATGCACGACGCTTACCTGTCGCAAACATAAAAGATGCATTCCTCTTGAGGATCTAAGTTACCAACAACATCGAAGTTTGCCCCACAATTTATAAACACTGCCACCTGGAACTACGGTTTGAAATAAAAAACAGGTAATTATTAACCAACAAAGTCACGATTTTTTGAGTAAGTCTCCTTTAACTCTCCCTTATCCTTTACAATCACAAGCGTGTAAAGCACATTTCGGTGTTTGAAAAGTTCCTAATATAATATCAAATTAAGGGATGGATATACCTTCAAAACCCTCCATGTACATAAACCATCAACATCAGGATAAACACATACAAGAACTCTCTACAGGTCTAGAAGATTTTTAATTTAACTTACATTTCCAACAACTTCTCCGTAAAACTCTGACCTTATATCTCGTATTACTACCATCCGTATACAGTCAAGTTCATAGTGAGCGGTTTCAACAACAAATTGTATTCTCGTTTGGGTTCCTAATTAAACTATAACAGTCTTTATGATGAGTAAATATAAACCAACTAATTTATTTATTCTCTCGTCAAGTAATAGTTCAATACACCTGGAAGAAAATTCTTATAAACAAATGGAACTGGAATGAGGGAACAGTGAGAAATGGAGCAGTGTTTAACGAAGTTATGCAGGAATTTTTGGCTCCAATAGCCTCTTGCCCCGAGCCTCTGACTACCTCTCGCATTATAGAAGACTAGTTCGTGATAACGCACATTATTTTCTGCCTCTCTCGTAAAGCAATATACTAAAGAAAGTTTGAAATCACGGCATATAAGGGGCTCCATGAACCCCACACTCATAGAAATGAAAGATGAAACAGGACGTGAATTTGGGCCATTTGACTTGCGGTTGTGCTGAGGTTCGTTCACGGATTACCCACGTAGTTTTCACATGGAATTGTTCTATTAGGATAACTCAGACTCAGTCATGATCGACTCATTATGTGTTTTTATTCAGCCAGAAAGGGATAGCCCCAATCGGCGAAATCAATGCTCATACGGTCCGTCTCAAAATCAAAAAAGCTTTTTTGTTGGATTCCTGTGCTTTAATTACAATGGAATCAGAAACTTTTTTCACGAAAGTAGATATGATATTATTATGGCTTTCCTCAGTTTACAGGTCAAAATTTGCGACCAGATTGACATACAATGCTTCAGTAACGAAAGAGCGCAAAAACGTGGACGTAACACACACGAATCTGGATAATATTAGTAAGACTTGGAGTTACGAACCTAACAATAGATAATCTTAGGGAAAATGCATGGTCTTATCTTAAATGAAGGTCGACACTATGAAATATTCATGCCCTCTACTAATAATCAATAATAATATATTCTCGAATAATAATACGTTACATGAGCCACTCCAGTTCACAGGCAAGATCAAATTGTGCCGTATCATACAGACTTTACTAAGTAACACAGTTAGGTCGATATTTTATAAGGTACATTGGTTATAGAATCAGGGAGATGACACTTCTCACATACGAATATAAATAATGTTAGTAAGACTTCAATGGTCAATATAAGAATTACCGCGTTTCATGGAGGATGCGTTACGACGTGCAACTGATGCTCGAGAACAGGTCCATGTAAAGTTGAGAGCTTTCAGGAAACGCAGCTGTATTTATCTTTCTGGAATATATGAGGCATTAATCATGGTTCAGGAAGGAGCCACCCGCTCCATATGTGTTTTCGGCCGCATATCTTGAGGGGGCTGAAAAGTAGGGCAAGCAAAAAAGGACGAGAAGCAGAGCGGACACAGTTCATGACTATTGAAGTTGAGTCATTTGTGGTGGAATAGTCAAGGAATTTCCACTTGGTCTACGTCTCTTTTATCAAGGTACTTTCTAGGCAAGAGCGGTCTAATAGGTTAAAGAAAACGAGTGTAAATATGGTATGAATAAACAAGGAACTGGATAAATGGATGTCGTCCAAAAAATAAGCTAAAAGTATAGGATTATGTGTAGTCTGGAAACAGTATTCTCATACACAGATGACTATCTCATCTTTTGTTGGAGCCACTTCAGCTCATTTCCTCATCTTTATTGATTTTATGGGGTATTGTTGCATGTATATTGAATAACTTTTGTAACGACAAAATAAAAACCAGATTTTCCCTATTTGTCACATTTTGTATGTAACCACATTTATATTCGGTATCCATTATTTCTCTGTATGGAGACGGATATAATTGTTTGGTTACATGAACACACTACTGTGATTGTTAATATACTAACACTATCTCCGTCATCTGTTATTCTGCTTTATTGGCCACGGTCTTTGATTGAAGATTATAATAGTGTTATAACATCCTCTTGGACCTTTTTGCACTACGTTGGAGTTATGAACCGGATCATTATTAAATAATGCTACCGCATCTAATCTTTCTCATTGCGCCGTTGGTGCCATCACGTGCTGAGGAATCTTTGTTAACCAAGTGAACCAAGTTATCTCACAGAGCAGCTTACAAGTAACATTCATTTCATAACAACCGTTATCATTTTGTTGTTTAATATCTAGTAGCATTGGACAATAGCCACACAATCCACAAAGCTGTGAACACGAGACTACTCTGAAAATAGATATTCAATATTTAACTCGGGGAAATACCTAACAGTGGAGAAGGCGCGAACAATGAGTTGAGTGAATTAGAGTTGATCGAACGGCATGGCTCGGCCGTGTAGGCGTGGTCCCTGCTGAATGTTATCTTATTTCTTCTATTCATATTAAATATATTGTTCTTTCACTAGCCTAACCTTACTCTACATCATGTGTTGGTAATTGATACGATACAGTGAGTTGGTGTAGTCGATGGTGTGACTTCCACGTAAGATCTTATAGATTAGGCAGTTATATCATGACAAATCTACAAATTTAGGATTAGGTCTATTATTAGAGCAGCACTAATATCATAGTAGACCATAATTCTACATTGGTGAGCCCAACTAGAGAAACGCAACCTATTATTGTTAATCTTATTTCCATTCTAAATTCTTTGATCTATTTTGTATTTATGTTAACCCAATATTCTAACAGTCCTGATTAATGCTCACATGTATTATCGTAATGTTATATTGATTAGTTCTCATGACATACTAGCTCAATCGATAATAAAAACTGGTCGTCTATATTAACTAATTAGCTTTGATGATTCGTTAAGAAGCTTTGATAGCATTTACATGCTTCAGCGACATAGACTTGTTTAAACATCAAGCTCTAGCAAATATGACCTGTAAATAGCGTAAATATACATTGACTAACAGTGCAATCAAGGATTGAATAGTTATCCGGATCTAATTCTTAGTGTTACTTCACTTAACACCTCATCCTGTTTTAAACTATGCACTATCCTGTAATATCTTTTCTTCCGACCACTGCCTGCCTAATTTCATATTCTCGAGTTCCATTGCCAAACAACAAGGATGACACTTCTCCAAAAACATACGGTGAGTTCCAGTTATAAGTTTTCTGCAATCACAAGTTCATTTTAGATGGCTCATTCAATGGCACACACAGTTATCTGGATTCATTCGGTTGTTCTGACCCGAGCGAGTGGCAAAAACGTCAACAGCATCAAGCACTCTGGAATTAATTGCCATACTGCATGTTTTATTCTGGATGCTTTTGGATCAATACTACTCACGAATGGCTTTATATATGTCGTCCACTGAATAATCCAATTTTCAAAAATAACCCAGGCGAGTTCAACTATTTTACTTAGTGATTTTTTTTACTTAACATGTATATGTTTTCCGGTTCCTTTTGCTATATATTTGTAAGTGTCCCTAGGCTAAATGCAGTATTCGGCGGCCTGCTTGAGCATCTGGGCTACCTGTTCCTGTCATCTAGATATTTCAACAAGTTATCTATTTTTGTTTGTTTTAATATATCATTATGTTTATTAATCGCACAACCTATTCTGCTGCGTTTCTGAAAAGTGTACAACCTTTCGTTGTCAAAGTTACAAACAACTCAATAAGAGACAATGTGGTTGCTGGCAATATACAACCAAAAGAATGCATATTATTCAGATGTTCATTTAGTGAACTGCTAACATCTAACTGGCGATCACTCAATATTTATCGCCAGGACCGACGAGGAAGAAAGAAACGGAAACTTGTTGAAATACTTTACGCTGAGAATTCTATATTGTACCAAAAATATAATATTGAATAAAGCTGATAATAATAATAATAATAATAATAACTTATGTACTCACTGGTAATCACATGAGCGTCACTCACTATTAATCATCTTGTAAAAACTTAATTAGGCAAATACATCTTACAGCACCACGTCAGTTAGTAATATGACACATAGGCTTAACTGATTTCAATAACTTATAATCACCATATCTCATTTAAATCGTATTCTGCCAGCATACGTGCAACTAACTTGTATGCCCATCAGCCGGCAAGTATAAATATAAATAGTCTATCGCAGATCAGAACATTGAGTCTTGAGCATGTCTCTTACGAATACACTCATGTTTAACGATTTTTCCTAGCTATCTGTCCAAAATCCATATAATTATCACTCATGTATTTAAATATTGTTTTGATAACCATTCATGTGTATTAGTAGTATTACTAAATCCTATCACGGTCAAGTAAAAATGAGGTTGAGAAAATCTCCCCGTAACTAAATAAACCGTATCAAACTAACTGGAACACTAGTTGGAATTCTTCTCCACGGTATACTTTCGTTCCTTCAGTTAGCCTACTAATACAGATGCAATTGGAATTCAACTCATATGGACAACTTACCGGCATAATCGTTATTTGATTTCATAGTTTAAACCAAAACTAATACCAATATTAACATTTCTACAATATTCATTACTTTAATATTTCTAAACACAAAATAATTACTGCCTATAAGTCAAGTTATTAACACGCATCGTTTTATTATTATTATTATTATTGTAATCCCATTTTTTATAGTTCAAATAATCTTCAACCAAATTTTCATTTTAAGCATGTTAATCATGAAAGCAGATATTTTAAGATTATTACATGTATTTCCCGACCAGATGCTGCCGTCTTTTTGATTTATCTTTCAGATTATCAATACCCGGAGGATCCTTATTATCCTTGGTAAACTCCGGCGCGCGACGATCCCATCCAATTTGGTATCGAACCAACATCACGTTGATTCTGGTGGGAGAGTAGTGTAGTGGCATTGGACAATAGCCACACAATCCACAAAGCTGTGAACACGAGACTACTCTGAAAATAGATATTCAATATTTAACTCGGGGAAATACCTAACAGTGGAGAAGGCGCGAACAATGAGTTGAGTGAATTAGAGTTGATCGAACGGCATGGCTCGGCCGTGTAGGCGTGGTCCCTGCTGAATGTTATCTTATTTCTTCTATTCATATTAAATATATTGTTCTTTCACTAGCCTAACCTTACTCTACATCATGTGTTGGTAATTGATACGA